CTTGTAACCTTATTTTTTAGTTTTGTCATTTTTCACACTACGGGCATGCTGACACTTTATTTATGCGATGTGACAAATCTTTAACGCTTTAAGCGTCAAAATGACAATAAAGCATAGACTACATAAAAATTTTCAAATCACTTCCAAGATTTTCTGGCTCCGACTGTATTTAAATGAGGTAACTAACAGGGAAAAATGTAGATATTCCCAATGCCTCCGTACATGCTTAACTTCGACTGTTTATGTTTATAGTTCGAAAAAATTCGACTATTAGCACAATCAAATTACAAGCAGCGGAGTAAAAAGGAAATGAAATTGATTTTGTCTCCTCAATGCAGAAGAGAGGACTGATTCATTAAAATTAACCACATTGAATTATTTTCCTAGAAACACTCTTAAGTTGTAAGAATGACGAACAAATTTAATTAACGATTTACCATGCAAGATTTCACAATATTCAGTTTTTGCAATTTTAAAGTTAAATTGTAAAAATATTGTTATATTTTTCCCCCCATAAATCTGGATGCTAAGAAACTCCACACTAATTCATAAATCACCCATCCAGGGGCATGTTATTTTACAAAATTTAAAGAACATTTATTCGGAAGAATGTCAGGATGACGTTATCATTTTCTAGGGAGGCCATAGATGAATAGATTTTGATTAACGATTTATCGTGCTTCATGTAACCTTAAAACCTTTGCAAGATTTCAGAGTATTCGGTTTTGCATTTTCAAAGTTAAATTTTAAAATACAATTTTGAATTTTTCCGCAAAAATCTGGCTGTCCATGGTAAAAACTCAACACGGATTCATAAACCACATGCGAAAGAGTATCTTATTTTGTAAAATTGAAATAACGTTTCGAGAGGACGTCATCCTATTGTTGGTGGCGATGTTTATCCAAATTTTGGTTAGTGTTTTATGTACCATCTACACGATATTCCTAAAACATATATATAATTTGACAACAATCGACGCAGTAGATTCTGAGATTACCTATCTAATAACAATCCAGACAAACGGCAAACACACAGACAGACGGAAACGGGCGACCTATTTTTGTGTACCCTAAGGGTCATGAAACGTTGAATAAACATAGAAGAAGCTTACGCTCAGGAAATAAAAATCGCACGGTATGTGTGAGGCTCCTAGATCAAAGATTTTTGTAACGTTCATACAGACTTAAATTATTTAAAATCTGTGGTTCACAATTTATCATGGGTAACAAATTATCCGTAATTGGTTCGAAGTTAGGTACATGCAAATGTGTTTTATTGTAGTGTTGCAATTCCGCCTCCGATAATACATAAATCCAATACGATAAATGTGTACAATTTGTTACTGAAGAGTAATGACGAGAATTCTGTTGTATCTAAAGCTATTGCAAACACAACTACATCTATAAATTAAAAATTTAAAATATAACATAAGCCGAAACAAACTTTCCGTGTTGTTGTTATTAACTGGAATATTATAATGTTTAAGAATTATTTTTATTTTTTCTATTTCTATAAGAAAGTTTTTTATTGCACTATTATTATTAGAAATGTATCTGTGTCACGAATAGTTCACACTCGGTAATACAGATTCCTACCAGTCAAATGACCAATGACTAGAAGCTTAACGAACAAAAATTGCATACATTTTTTGTCACTCATTTTTATGAAAACACTCAACAGGGAAAAATTTCTTTTTGGAGTTTCAAGTTTCAAACCCGAAATTCTCGTCTACTGATTTGTCAATTTTTTTGTTGAAAATAAGAAATAAAATACCTCAATATACATAAAGAATAGTATAAAAACCACATTTTACAAGGTTCTTATTGCGGCTGGTTTTCCAAACTTGACCTCGTGCAATAATAAATGGTCTTATAAAACTCGCTTTTTAATGTACTATTTTCTTGTTAAAATGGTTAGAATATGAACATTATTTTTCGAAAACAAAAGTCCTGCAATAATCATGAAAATTAATTTTACGAAAAAATGTTTCATAAAAAAAATGACTATTTCAAGCCTTTCCAGTAAAATCTTATCAAATATAAATACAAAATATCGATAAAAAAGTGTTAATTTTTAATCATACGTAAAATTGTTCATTCCCATGTGATTTTTCAATAGCAATTTCATGATTTGTCACATACGTGTCATTTCATAACACACTTGGTTGGTGGTACCAATTATTGCATTTGTTAATTCAAATTATGACAAGAAATTGGGCATAAAAGTTACGTGGAGACACTCATACCTACCTCCCACATTTTTGATTTGATCTAATTTTTCCAATTTCAAAATCAGCACCTGAAATAATTCACATATTACGCTCAAAAAGTAGATAATTATGAATAAGAAATGATGAGGAAAAATCTTAACTCGTATCAAATCGTAACCCCAGTGCACTGTTGTTATGGTAACATGGGCGACGAAACGTAAAATGATGGCCTGATATTATATCGTTACCATATAACAGGAGGGAAATAACACAAGGGCTTTGATTAAATTGTGTAGAATTTGCGAAAATTAATTAGATGTGAGTGGATTAGACCGTACCCGTTAGTGTAAAGCGTTGGGGCACACTTCGAATTGTAGCTTTTTTCCAAAGTAAAGAACACGCCGGCCTTACAAAATTTACACAATAACTTTTTAATTCAATTATATACCGCCTTTTCTACGGTAATGGACAACGCTGCATGCATACACACTATCAAATAAACACAGGATTTCCGTAGTGGATAGAATTTAAGCTCTTCATTCCTTTATCCTTATCATTACATAATTTACCTCCCTCAGTTGTCAAAGCTTATGTAATCTCTTTAACCTATGACATTTAATTTTAATAACGGTCAGTTGTGTTACTTAAAAGCTAGGGGAACGAGGGGCTTGTTGTAACAGTTTTTAGGAAAACGAATATAATTTGGTATCTATTAGCTGTTTGACCATTATAAAAGTATCTATCGGTAGTCTAACTATTCCCCTATTGGACTGAACAGGCAAAAGGTCAAAATTGTTCATCTTCACTTCACACCAGGCATTTTCTTAAAAAAAGTGCATTGTTACAACTTGCCCCGTGGTTGGGGCTAGTTGTAACAGCCATCAGACAGGTAGTACCAGTAAAAATAAAGCTGATGTTGATACATATTTAGACTTTATTTTTGAAAAATCAACACAACACTTCATTATATACAATTTTTTTTCAGTAAAACTGAAATAAACTTTTAGAAAAAGAGTCAACATTAAAAATTTGAGTGTTGTCTTCCTTTTTCTTAATATATCTGGAAAGCGATATATGGCATAGGTCAAAATTTTGGCTCGCTTTTCGTATGCTAGGTATGAGATTTGTAGAAGTGAATTTGGGATAAGTTGTAACATGTTACAACTTGCCCCAAAGCTATTGTTACAACATGCCCCGTAGCACAATTTTCTACATTTAATTACATTTCGTCAAAATTATGTGGCTTAAGGGTCAAAATGTGTAAGGAATATCAAAGCTGAGTAATTTTTGAGCTACATGCAAAACTAAAAGTTTTAAATTAATTAATAACTGATACGAAAAACCAAATTTTACTAAAGCAATATTTTACATTACTTGGCCAAAACGAGACACGTGCACACATCCACTTACTGCGCTGGCTCAAGGAACAGTGGTTGTGATGACATGATGTCTTATGGTGCAAGAATTAAATTCAGTAAAATACCTGACGTTAAAGAGTTTAAATTGTGGGTAAAAATTTAGTGTTACAACTTACCCCTGTTACAACAAGCCCCTAGTTCCCCTACACATTCACAATGAATAAATTCCAGCTTCCTGATTATTTAAAAAATGAATTCTGCATGCCTTAAAAACAGACCTCGAGGATGCCGTTAAGGGTTTGAAAATCCCTCACACTTCCGATTCAGGAGTTAATTACAAAACTGACTCATTAAAAAAATGTGCTTACAAAGATTTTTTTGATTATTTCACCGTAATTGTAAGTACTTCATTTACAGTTTTAATGCCTCTTCAATTTTGTTTTGTAAATACCCATTATTAGATGTAATCTGTGTTCAAATGGTCTGTTCTTTTTCGCCTGCGTGTAATTTCAATTCTCCAATAAACTTTTATGACTTGACTTTCTGTTGGTGGTTGTGTTGTCAAAAGTATTGTATAAAATATTTTAATATTTAAAAAGTCTTGCAAAAGAATTAAACAGGGATTAAACATTACAACAACAACCAATTATCCAAAAATAATAGTGAGATAGAGTGTGGGTTATCCTTAGAGCAAGATAATGGATAATCGGGTGATGTGGTTGTAATTCCGTCGATACTATAATGTAGTTTTGATATAAATTTGGTATGACATGATTTCACATTTACAACTGTCAAAAAAATAGATTTCGCATCGTGCTCTTGAATTACAATGAGCGGTGAAAGATATGTCCAGTATAAATCGATTGTGGCAAACTATCTTATAGTTGGAAGGCACTTCCACAAAGAAATTTTGTTCGTAATTCGTGTGAGTCAAAGTCGTTTTTGATACATTAAATAAGCATCAAATCCTGTTTACTGAGTCTCTGCTTCATCGATCTTAAATTGCAAGCGCTTAATTTTAAGGTGCGAAAATTTCGTCAACAATGAAAATTTATTAATTAAAAACCACAACATAAACTTTTAATTAAATAGCCTTTTATGTCTTATCAGCAAAGAGTTGCACGCCATAATTAAAGCAGGCATGTGTAGGAGCGGTAAGCCTATAATTAATTCGACATGGCTGAAAATATGTTGTAATGAAACGACCCCTTCATTAAATGTTTAATATTTCGGGAGCTCTTCGTAGGAAAACAACCCGCTTAGTTTTTCTTCTAATTTGACGTTTGTACGACGCTTCTAACTTAATTTTCCAAGTTTCTAACTCGTCCGTAAAAGTTGTATTCACAGAACGTTAAACCCGGCTTTCTCAAATTAGTGTTGTTTTTATGCAGCGAGTAATACTTTTAGAAAATAAAAATTCTCTTTTTTGCAGATCCGCCCTGGACACAGTAACAAACACAAAAGTCGCGATAAAGAAAATTTCGCCGTTCGAGCATCAAACCTACTGTCAGAGGACTCTCCGAGAAATTAAAATACTCACAAGGTTTAAACACGAAAACGTGAGTGTTATTACTGTAGAATTTTCAATTTTGGTATGAACATGTGGGTAGGTAGAAGAAGCTTCGAAACATCTGCGTGCATGTCACTCACTTCATCCTAGATCTATATAAAAAATATACTCATATGACGTCTCCAGCCACATACATTCATCATTTTCACGTCGCGCCGAAATTCGTACACGTTTTTTATTGTGATTGTATTCGTCTATTTTCGCAGAACATTTTGCGAAATCGACTTCATAAAATTTCATTTTTCTGCCTTATTAAAAAGCTTCTTTATTTGCCTTTTTTTGATATCGAGTTTTCGGCAAGTTTGTGTACGCGGATCGAAATTGAAAGTTTGCCAGCGGCGGAGCTCGAAAGTTACTTGAATTTTAAAGTACTCTGTTAATGCATAATTATTAAGTCATTACTAATTTATGATTATCGTTCGTTTCGGCGAGGTTTGTTTAAACTCGCTTTGACATTTTAGGAGTGTTTGTTATTTTAACGGGAAAAAACGGAATTTTGAGCTTCTCTCTTTTTTCTCAGAGGGAGGTTTTCCAAAGACAGTAGTAAATTCTGAGACAGTTATTACTTGCTTTGATCTCGTGTTCACCTTTGGAAATATAATATTGGGAAACTTCCAAGGCGCTCATAATTTTCAGCGCCACTCAATTTAACAATAATTAACAGAATACACGTGTACGTACGTTTTTAATTGCTCGATGCAAAATGTTTATTGTTTGTAGAAACGCGTAGTTAAAACAATGGAAACAAATCAACTCCTACGCTGGCAAATGCAAAATTGTTGATGAACTTTATTACGTGAAATGTGTGTCCTGCAGACAATTAACTCGTGTTAATAATGTCTAGTTAAAACTAATTCGTATAAATAAAACTCTCCTTCCCCATTAAATTTACGATATTACATTAAATTTCCCTCCCTGGAAATTTGTCTTAGAACTTGCCAAATTAATTTTGATGGATTTGCTTTTTGCAGGAACGTTAATAATTTAACGTCTGCTACAAAAAGAATCGGGAGGAAGTTATTATGTGGCTTTTTACCAACAGAATAATGGCTTCGAATATCGCAGTGATATTGTTTAAATGCTTTCTCCGTAAATTTCTTTTTTCCCCAGTTCGAAGAAATCGCATTTTATCTTTCGTCGCACTCGAAATAAATTAAAATTAATTTTTAACTTTACGAGCAATCCAGGTTGCGAACTTAAAGCAGAAGATTGCATTGGAAGTAAATTTGAATATTTTTATGTTTGGGACGGGAGATGGAAGTTGAAGTGGAAATTTATTAGATGTGAACTATATTTAAAGTGAGCAGCTTTCATAAAAATTAATAGAAATTTAAATTCTGTTTGAATTTAGTTGTCGCATATGTGGTCGATTATCAAACGCCGTAATTGTAGGACACGAAGGGTAAAAGGTGAAGTATCCTTTTTGATAAATCGAACTAATTAAAAGTGACCCTCTATACAATAATTTTTTCTTCTACGGGAAGTAGAATAGGATACTATAATCGGGATAGAAATCAAGTATTATACCCGAAGGAAATAATATTAAAAGAATTTCCCTTGGGAGTTCTGCATTAGCAGTTTTCTCGATTTTATTTTCGCCTTGTAATATTTGATTTGCTATATAAATTTAGTCGCCGATTTCAGCCTCCGTGGCGCTTGATACTCGTAATATTTACACAAGTACCCACTAAATAAGTGCAGAAGATTGACGTAAGTAGTGACCAGTGTATAACTTTCTATTGATATTTTTCCAAACGTGTTCTTGGAGTTTTATTCTTTGCGTTGAGAATATTGATGATTTTTTTTTTTTTTTTTTTTTTATTTTATTTTATTGGTTAACGTTACCCAACAGGCCGGAGGCCCAATTACAGGGTAACGGGGGACATACACAACACCCAGAGCAGGGCGGGAATCGAACCCACGACCCAAGGTGTGGCAGGCAAGCGCGATGCTACCTAACCCACCCGGGTCCTCCCCCGGTGATGATGATTAACGACGTTCCCGTGTCCAAAACTGCAACCTATCAAGCATTGGGAATATACTTATAATTCACAACGCATTTAATATTTTACATTCACCGTCAAATATTTGTACCCTTTCACGTCTACAAAAAAGCTTTGAACTGATGCCTTGTCAAAAGTAGTTTTCATTTTGCATATGTTTGCCTATTCTGGATTATTGTTGACTTGAAGGCAGCCCTTGTCATATAATATTGGACCGAAATAATGGAAGACTTGAATACGCAAAATGACGTTTTCAGTGTAAGTTTGCATTTTTTTTTTTTTTTTGAGAGCACTACTCTCTGAAGCGATTGTACGCTGGGTCGTATAGTTTTCGTGACTGGGATGGCAATAAATTCAGAACCGCAGCTTCAACAACTTCACGAATTTCTTCTGGTTCTTTCATTTCAAACCACTTTTATCTTTCACAGCGTTGTTATTGACACAAATTTTGTCTGTTGTGGAGTTCAAAAGGGACTAAATATCGATTTCTTAATTGCTTTAAATTACGTGGCGTGGTAAAGTTTTTCTTTCAGTGATACCCTACAGGAAAGAGTATTATGTATTTCCCTCTTTCGATATATAAAATATATGTACAGAGTTTACTTCATTTCAAATACACGAATTTACAGTTAGACAAAAACAGTGTTAGGAGAACGAATTTAGCGAAAATAAAATTCTATCTATAAGTAATAAAAAAATTGGTCGAAGGTTATTTCGATAGAAGTTCCCTTGTCCTGGAAGTGCAGTCCAATAAATCCCGCTTTGAAATATTGTAACAAAAATTGCGATTTCGTTTTCTGATGACCTCTATAAAGTGGCGTAAATAACACTCCCGCAGCTTTTTGACTTGAATTTTTCAATTTTTTTTTTTTTTTTTGTTACTTCAATTTTACAATATGCATTTCTTCGAGTTTTTCATTTTTTCAATTTTTCGAGTTTTAAATTTGAGTTTCCCCAATTTTCAATTTTCAATGTTCTAATTTTTCGATTTGCAATTTTTCGTTCTGGTTTTTTATGTTCTTTATTTTTTCGACTAGTAAATTTTTCAATGTTTCGATTTTATAATTTTTTGTTTTTTCACTTTTAATTTTTTCAGTTTTTAATTTTTGACAATTTTCTGTTTCGGTTTTTTGTTTTCTTCATTTATACAATTTTTCTTTTTTTGTTTCTTTAATTTCACGATATGCATTTTGCATTTCTTCGAGTTTTTATTTTTTAGGAATTTTCTGATTTGCAGTATCACGATTTTTCAGTTTTTCGTTTCTTACATTTCTCGAATTGAATTTTTAATTTTTTTTTTTTTTGTTAAATTTTACAATTTTCCAATTTTCCAGCTTTGGATGTTTCAATTCGTGATTTTGCAATTTTTCATTTTTTAGATTTGATCTTCTAATTTTTCCATTTGCAATTTTTCAATGCTTCGATTTTATAATTTTTTGTTTTTTCAATTTTAACTTTTTCAAATTTTAATTTCTAATTTACTGTTTCGGTTTTTTGTTTTCTTTATCCCTACAATTTTTCAGTTTTTTTGTTTCTTCAATTTTTTGATTTGCGATTTCACGATTTTTCAGTTTTTCATTTCTTGAATTTTTCAAATTTTTCAGTTTTCCCATTTTTCCACTTTGGATGTTTGAATTCGTAGATTTTACAATCTTTCGAATTTTAGAATTGAGTTTCTCGAGTTTTCAGTTTTTAATCTTATAATTTTTCGTTCCTGTTTTTTATCTTCTTTATTTTTTCGATTGATCGACTTTTTAATGTTTTGATTTCATAATTTTTTGGTTTTACAATTTTAACTTTTTCAAATTTTTATTTCTGGCAATGTTCTGTTTCAGTTTTTTGTTTTCTTTATTTGTACAATTTTTCATTATTTTTTTTTTATTACTTCAATTTCACGATATGCATTTCTTCGAATTTTTATTTTTAGATTTTGCATTTTGATTTGCAATTTCACGATTTTTCAGTTTTTCATCTCTTCAATTTTTCGATTTTTCAATGTTTCTATTTTAGAATTTTTTCATTTTTCGTTTCTTCCATTTTTCGAATTGAATTTTCCATTTTTTTTTGTTTCTTCAATTTTACCATGTGCATTTCTTCGAGTTTTTATTTTTGAATTTTTCAGAGTGAATGTTCCAATTCGTAGATTTTGCAATTTTTCATTTTTTAGATTTGATCTTCTAATTTTTCCATTTGCATTTGTTTTTTCAATTTTAACTTTTTCAAATTTTAATTTCTGGCAATTTTCTGTATCGGTTTTTTGTTTTCTTGATCTCTACAATTTTTCTTTTTTTTTTTTTTGTTTCTTCAATTTCTCGAATTGAATTTTTCAATTTTCTTCAAAATTTTCAGTTTTCCGATTTTCCAACTTTGGATGTTTGAATTCGTAGATTTTACAATTTTGCGATTCTGAGAATTGAGTTTCTCGAGTTTTGAATTTTTAATCTTATAACTTTTCGATTTGCAATTTTTCGTCCTTGTTTTTTATCTTATTTATTTTTTCGATTAATCGATTTTTCAATGTTTCCATTTTTTAATTTTTTGTTTTTTCAAATTTTAATTTCTGGCAATTTTCAGTTTCGGCTTTTTGTTTTCTTTATTTGTACAATTTTTCGTCTATTTTTTACTTCAATTTTACGATATGCATTTCTTCGAGTTTTGATTTTTAGATTTTGCAATTTTTTGATTTGCAATTTCACGATTTTTCAGTTTTTCATTTCTTCAATTTTTCGATTTTTCAATGTTCCGATTTTAAAATTTTTTCAGTTTTTGGTTTCTTCAATTTTTTTTGCTTCTTCAGTGTTACCATGTGCATCTATTCGAGTTTTTATTTTTAAATGTTTCAGTTTTCAAATTTTTCGATTTGCAATTATACGAAATGTCAGTATTTAATTTTTTATTTGTTACATTTTTGAATTTTTCATTTTTTTAATTTTTCGATTTGCAATTTTTCGTTTGGGTTTTATTTTCTTAATTTTTTCGGTTTTTC